TTAAGAAAAAGTTTAGTTCAAAAGAATGAGAGATTACATAGACATTTTAACCATTTAATGTTTATTAACAGTCTTTTACTCAAAAGATCTTTGCATGCATTTTCTTTATTTTGCTTTTTCTTCATTTCTTGAGACTTCTGTGCTCTAGGTGAATGCACAGAATTATATGGTGGGCTGAGACACACTTTAATGGGAAAAGTGGGCAAGTCCACTGGTGGGCGGCGTGTAGCCAGTGGCTGCAGTTAACGCCGTTCTCAGGTTTCGCACACTGTCGTCTGCACACTGGATGTTGACTGTCAGAAGAGGCCTGGCTCTCTCTCTGAGCCTGTCTTTCTGAGCTCAGCCTGGCTCAGATGCAACTAAAATGAGCCCTGAGTCAGCAGACTGGATTTGCATGCCTTGTAGGAACTCTGTCCACGGGCCTTCTCCATGGTCCCTGCAGGCCTGGGCTGGGGCCATGGCAGGTGTGATCTGGGACCCGGCCCTGCTCTGCTCCTGGGGGTCTCAGGGCAAGTGCGCTCTTCCTCGCATGTAGGACCCCCAGGGGCCAGGTGGGGGAGTGGACAGGGAAGCACCCTGCTTTGTTTGGAGGCAGAGAGCTAGCTGGCAAGAAATAGGATTTAAGAGTGAGGTGTAGAGAACCAAAGAGACCAACTACTGATGGTAATATTAGGAACCATCATTTGCACAATCCTATTGCACATCCTATACACAATAGAAATATCGTTCATTGAAATAAAATGAGTTTCAGATATTAAGAACTACTCTAGAAATGTAATAAATAATTACAACTTTTAAATAAAATTCTTTATTACTTTCAAAACTGCTTTCATTCTGTTGACCTGCAAACACTTGGTCTCTTAAATATATTTTCCTTCTCTATGAGTTTTTCACATAAGCACTGTAGTTATCCCAGAGTCCACATACAGAAGGAAACTGCAGAGGAAGATAAATTGTGGGGGAGGTCCTTTCAGTCTTTTTCTGCCAGTGATTAATTAACTTGGATAAGTCACTGTATCGATCTTGTCTCACTGAAAAATGAAATAATTTCTCACGTACCTAGTTAATGCTCAGTTCAGTTCAGTTCAAGACGCTACAATTATGGGCTCATGTGTGTGGGTGCGGTAACCCCTGTAGCCACACCGGGATCCTCTGTCTCAGGTGAGCACCTGCTTGGGGTCCTCCAGAGGCGTCAGCAGGTTTTGGGAAGGAAATTTGAGAGCTGAGGGAGGAGCTGGCAGGATTTTTGGTTAAATCACCACCTCTGCCTCAACAGAGGAATAGGCCCCTACAGACCCAACTGGAAGACAAACGGCTGGATCAGAACAAAGGGAAACAGCCTGCTCCTGCAGACCAGTGCACAGACTCTGCAGACACAGCGTGAGCTGGTGTCCTGGACTCTGTCGGCCTGGGGGCCCCGAGGCGGTGGGCTCGTGGGACGGGATGGGATGGCCCTGTCTTCAGAGTAGCCCCCCGAGAAGGCAGCTTCCTCTTCCTGCTTTTCTCTGCAGTACAGATGCCTTCCTGGAACACTCTGGAATTCTGAATTCAGGGCCCCAGAGACTTTCTGCTGAGATGCCCAGTGTGGGAGAAGCCCCACATGGTAGGTTCCCGAGGCTCTGGGCAGTTCCCATGACCCCTCCACCTTCGGCCTTGTGATCCCATGTGGAAATTTTCATTCCTTTCAATAATTGCTCTGCGTTTGACTTCTTGTTTATTTGTTGGGTTTCCATTTTTTTTTTAAATCGAAGTGTAGCTGGTTTGTAATGTCATTTTTCAGGTGTACAAGAAAGTGATTTAGCTATACATATATATCTATATAAATATACATGTATTTTTTACTATTTTCCATTATAGGTTGTTCCAAGGTACTGAATATAGTTCCTGGGTTTCAGTATTTTTAAGTAAGGAAAGGTGCTGATTTCAGGTAAACAATGAGGTGAAAGAAGGTCCGTGCCTCCTTTTTCTCCCTCCTGCCTCCTTGCCACCCACTCGCTGTTGCTCAGAAACGGGCTCCAGCCCCTTCTGGTTCCACGGGGGTCAGATCCGTGCTTCACTCTGAGGTTTGTTTTCCTTGATGTCTCCCTAGTTGGGAAACATGGATACAACCCCCCAAAAGATGAGCTGTGCGCTTTGTTATGAGCATCTTGATTAGGGCCGTGCTGAGATGAATCCGTCCATGTGATGAAATACTACAGAATCAAACACTAAAGTCCAGCAGTTAGGACTTCAGGCTTCCAATGCAAGGGGCAAGGATTCGATCCCTGGCCAGGGAATTAAGAGCCTGGCCAGGGAATTAAGAGCAAGGCATGACCGAAAAAACAAAATGATCTGCTGTTTGGGCTTCTCAGGTGGCAGAGCACTAAAGAACTGCCTGCCAATGCAAGAGACACAAGAGACACGGGTTCGACCCTTGGGTCGGGAAGATCCCATGGAGTCGGAAATGGCACTCCTCTCCAGTATTCTTGCTTGGGAAATTCCATGGTCGGAGGAGCCTGGCAGGCTGCATACAGTCCATGGGGCCACAAAGAGTCAGTCTAACTGAGTGACTTAGCATGCACACACCCACCAAAAAGGAGAATTCCTGCAAACTCTGGAGATGTTCAAGCGTGGTTTACTGTGGAGCTGACAGTCCCTGACGGCAGCTCCCATGGCCTTCCAGTCTGTTTGTTACAGATCAGCAGGCACACAGGGTTCCCGTCTCTGTGTGAGTCTGCCGTCACTGGAACCGTGAATGTAGCTGCATGGTATTCCTCACAGCTCATCAGTCTTCCAGTTATGGAGAGACACTCCCCAGCTCTTGCCAGCCTGGCTCCTGGGACCCGCTCTTCTGGCCGCCTATTGGTCAAACAAAGGACAAAGAATGTCCGTTATTCTCGGAGCCATTCGTCTTGTTTCTAATCACATTTTAGGAGCTCTAAGTGCCGTAGGGGGATTAACTCTGTCATGCAGTGCTTTATGCCCCAGTATTTCATTTCCAATTTTACTTGGAGTCTGGTTTCTTTTTCTAAATGCTTTTTCTCATGAGGAGATTCCCTAAAATATAACCTGCTTCTTCAGAGGAAACTTGGGCCTCTCGAAGGAGTCAGCGGCCTTGTTGATCCTGGCGGGCGCCCACCAGATGAATGACAGAACCTGGAGGCACACAGTGATTCCCTTGGCAAATTCATCGCTGCAATTTTGGGCAAGAGCGTTCATCTCTATGTTTAAGGCCACTGTCCGGGTTGAAATCTGAGACCCTCACTTGCCGTCGGAGCGACCTGAACAAGTGTTCTAACCTCTTTAAGCCAAGGTCTCAGTGAAGTAGACTGGTTGCAAGGCAGTGGGGGCCGGATTACTGTCATGAAGGCAGTTACTTTGTAAAACAGCAAAGAGCACCCAAAATTCAGCAGAAGGCCCGTTCACGCTCATGTTGGGCACCTCTTTTCTATTCATTCTGGAGAATAAGCCTTAGTGGGTGTGAGCTGCCACGGCTGTGCTTTTGCACCAGGAGATGAACACAGGCTCAGTGTTTCCCTGGGGCTGGAAACTTGGGGACTCGTGGCCCACTCAGCCCTTGACAACGCCCCAGGAATCTGAATGCACTTGACGATCTACCAGCGTTGACTCTGCTGGCTCCGGGGGCTCTGGGGAGGCGCTGGGGTGCCGCCAGGTGGCCTTCTTGCACACCCAGCAGGCGCTGGGCTCGAATCAATGCACCCTTTTGTTCCGCTCTTGGCTTTCGGGGAGCCGGGGCAAGTTGCCTCACCGCGCCGCTTGGTTTTCAAGGAGAGGGATTATTTGGAGCTTCTGCAAGAGCAGGGCTGATCCTCAGCCTCCCTAGACAGAGCCCCCGTGGCCGCTGGCTAGGCTCCTGCTTCTGCCGCTGCCGCCTGGGAGCCCCAAGGGGAGGGAAACGCAGGGGAGCCCTGCTCAGCCACGAGGTCATCGTCAGGAGTGTGTGGGAGAGATTACTGGACGCACAGAACTATTTTAAGGATGAGAAGCCAGGGCATTGTGGGAATAACCAGGAGATAAGTCATTTATGCTTTATGCTGCCATTTTTAAAACGTCAGCATCTTTAAGAATGGTCCAAGCACTGGGCTTTAACCAGTACTGAACCAGGACCCTCCCTGGGGACTGCGAGCACTGGAGCCCGGCCCACCAACAGGCCCACCCCCGCCCCTCTGTCCACCGTGAAGATGGACGTTTCACTCTAGGGTAGAATGATTTGGGTTTGAGATGTGTATTTCTGAAATAGCTGAGCGATAAAGCACAAGGCAATAGGCTTCAGTGTGCGAACCCGTCGTTCAGGCCCCACCTCGAGTCCGGCGGGGCTGGGGCAGAGCCAGCCCCGGGGTGGTGGGCGGGGCCTTCCGCGCCAGGCGGGACCGCAGCTTCCTCGCTGCACTGGGGGCTGGCCAGGTCAACGGGGACCCCGCTGCCCCCCACACGCACACACACGCGCACACACCCCGGATTTCAGCACTCACCCATTTCTGTAAATATCCCCACTGTGGTCGAAACCGAGCGGCTCGCGTGGCATCAGCCCAGCGGCCGCGCCTCTGAGGTGCAGCCGTTGGCCGGTCCCGGCCGGTCCCTGCGCCGAGGACTGGGCCTGCGCTGAAGGTCCTCGCCGTCCTCCCTCTCCGCGAGGCGTCCTCCCTCTCCGCGAGGTCTGGAGGGGCCTGGCGGGGTGTTCTCGCGTGAGGCGGCGTGTTCTCGCGTGAGGCGGCNCGAGGTCCCCGGGACCCATGACAGAGGTGCGCTGTTTTCTGTTCAGTGCGGAGGGCAGCCTGGGTCCCCTGGCTGTGACCCTGCGGGCAAGAAGGAGGAAGCACACTTTTGGGTCCTTGTGTGTCTGGAGGGGAAAGTACAGTCCCTGGGATTTCTTGGTTCAAATTAGCATGTCTTTTCTTTGCCTAAACTGCCTAACTGCACTCCAGCACTCTAACCGCCCATCTCCCCGCTCAACTACATTTCAGAACCTCTGTAAACACCCATCAGCCAGGGTGAGCACGGACGACCGGTTCTCTCTGGCCGCAGAGGCCCCAGAGGGCAGCTGAGGACAGCGACGGGAACCCCGCATGGGCACGGTGAGGAGGAGGCCTGTGGCACCTCGTTCCGGACGCACCTTCCAAGTGAATCTGCCTGTTGCAGATGAGAAAGCTGTAGGGTTCTGTAAGAAATGCAAAGTTACATCCTGTCCCAAGGCAGGTAAGCATCCTGGTAACCAAACCCACGTGACTAGACTGAAAAGCCACTCTTCCTCTGCCCCTGGACGACCAGGGCGGAGGAGACCTTTCTTCTCATTGTAAACTTCACATTTCAAGCACCACCAGGCTGTCCCTACGTTATAGTAAGTGACCCCTGGAGGAGGGCATGACAACCCACCTCAGTGTCCTTGCCTGGAGAATCCCCATGGACAAGAGGAGCCTGGTGGACTTCAGTCCCTGGGGTCTCAAAGAGTTGGACACAGCTAAGCACAGCACATAGTAAGTGACACAAAATGCTACTGCATAATGCTACTAAGAAAAGGACTGTTTTATTCTGAGCATGGTTTGTTTCTAAAAGATGAACACGCAAATAAAAAATAGCAGCACAGATGGTCATAGGCAGTTCTGTGTCATCACCAAGAACCCCTGAAAGGACCAATTTGGCACTGAACCTTGGCTGTGATCATCACAGGTCATCAACAGCGGCCCCAGAATGGTTCCTCAGCATTTCTAGACGTGGGTTTCTGGATGCAGAGAGTGTGAACATCACTTCTTCCCAGAGTCCTCAGGAAGGCGAGTGGACACATGGGCGGGGAGCCTGAAGCCCAGGAGCTGGAGGACAGAACCGCAGTTTGCATTTTCAGGAGATTGCTCTGGGGGGACTCTCCTGCTTGACGCACAGGCATCAGCTCTTGGGTATTTAGGGCTTCATAAAACCCTCTGTGCCTCTGTGGAGAACATTTACTCATCTAGTCAAACCTGGAGCCTCAGCAAAGACTGATGCTGGTGAGTAAGAGCTAAAGCACCATCTTGCTTTGTAAATTCCCAGTTGCTCCAGTTCCAGTACACAAAGGCCAAGGTCAGTGTTGAGCTCCCAGCCCCGATGACCCAGGAGGATGCTCCTGGTGGCCAGGAGCAGGGTGTCCGCGGTGAGGAATGTGTCAAACTCTCGGTCTTGTTCTTTCCTGAATATGCCCCCAAGCCCATTAAATGACCTCATTTCGTCCTGACCTATGTGTTGAGAAGGAAGACGCCCAGGAGGACGATTCAGAAAACTCACCGTCTGCGCTTACAGGAGGTAGAGAGGGCTTCTTTGTGAGCAGCAGCAGGTCCAAGGAGGCACGTCGTCAGATCACCGCACAGAGCTGGCTTGCCACAGATATTCGAGAGTCTGGAATCATCTCTCCAGGCCGGGATGGGGGCCCCGGGGCTGTGCCCACCTACCTCCATTCCTTGGAAGTCGGGGTCCCCGAGCGCCCTTGAGGGGAGCAGCTTGGGCAGTTCTGGGGGTCGCTGCATACTCTGTCATGAGGGCCTTCTCCTTCCAAGCCTGTCCTTGCGTCCTGGGACCTTCAACGTGAGTTTCAAATAACTTCGCAGACACAGTGCAAGTATGTCGGAAGTGATTTGTGGGTCTGTTTGAACTCACATTCCTGTGTTCTGCTGCTTGCCATGGGCAGTAATTTTCTGATAGATTCTTATGAACAGAGTTTATATTAAGAGTTGCTATTTTACTTTTGAGACATGAAGTGGTGATTTCATTAAGGGCTTTCATTAGGTCTTACTAACTTGCAAATTTTCTCCAGTTGCATTTGCACACAGAACTTTATAAATATAAAGGGAATTCTGTATTTGCCATTTTAAAAAAGATCCAAAGTAGTAGATTTGAGTGGATAGCATAGTTTTATATATGTATGTACCATCACAAGGAGTTTTGTTAATACTTTCACTGGAGGAGTTTCCTGATCCTTAGTTGTGATGTGAACTGTGGTTTCAATGATTTGCAAACTTATCCAGCATCTTCAAGCAGGTGAGTGGAGGACGCATGAGATTCTGCATGTGGAATGCAGGTGTTTCTTAGGTCATGAAGTTGCACGATTGTGTTTAGAGATTTCTCGTTTGTGGTTTAGTCGCTCAGTCCCGTCTGACTCTCTGTGACCCCATGGACTGTAGCCCACCAGGCTCCTCTGTCCACTGGATTCTTCAGGCAAGAGTACTGGAGTGGGCTGCCATTTCCTCCTCCAGGGGATCTTCCCTTCCCAGGGATCAAACCTGCATCTCCTGCTTGGCAGGCGAGTTCTTTGCCTCTGAGCCACCTGGGAAGTCTTTACCCAGAGGAAATAAAACCTCCTCCACCTTGAATTCCTAGAAGCAGGATAAAGATTTTAACCCTTTTGTACCCTTCAAGGCAACCATTTTATAAATAAAAATCAGCTTACCCTCTGAGATAGAAGTGAGATTTCACCACAGACCTGTGTGTCTGAGCACACGTGCCTGCTGGTGTCTATTGCGTTGACATCTATCTGGATGGGACCCTGTCTTGGTACCTGGAAGATGACTTAACAAGATGTAAAGCAGGTAAGTCCCTGATGCTGGGAAAGATTGAGGGCAGAAGGAGAAGAGGGAGTCAGAGGATGAGATGGCTGGACAGCATCACCACTGATGCAATGAACATGAACTTGGGCAAACTCTGGGAGATGGTGAGGACAGGGAGACCTGGCGTGCTGCAGTTCATGGGGTTGCAAAAAGTCAGACACGACTGGGTGACTGAACAACAGCAACAGAACAGGTGCATGAAGACATTTAAACATCAGGTTTTGTTGTAGGAAACGTGTTTCTTCTAAGCTTACCCTCAAGTCCTTGCAAAGTGTGGTGGGGAGGAGATCAGAAGTAACCAAAGTTACATGAGACTCATCTCAAAGACCCTGCCTGCTTCCAGGACAAGTTTCCTTTCATGACGAAGCTTGCAGGATATAAATAAGGTATATGTACAGCTTCTCTCCCAGTGAGGAATTTGGAGGAGGGAACTTTTCTGTAGTAAAATGAGTAAAATGGCATCATAATTTCAGCAAAATTAAGGCGATACGTAAAGTAAACACATCTCATGCTATGCACTTTTCTGGAAATTTCCTTTTTTTGTCAATGCTGAGACTCAGTAACTATAAATGCTGGAATGGTCCTGGGTGATCATGAGAAAAAGTAGAGATTGGAGACATCCAATTTAGCTGTTACGGCTGGGGTTTAAAATACTGACTTTTAGAAATTAGATTATACATAAAAAGTATTTGTGAATCTTATGACCAAGAAGGGGTTAATATCCAAAGTGGATAAACAGCTCATACAACTCAGCATCAAAAAAAATTTTTTTAAATGGGCAGAAAATTTGAATGGACATTTTTCCAAAGAAGACATACAGATGGGCCAACAGGCATGTAAGAATATGCTCAACATCACTAATCACCAGGGAAACGCAGATCAAACCACAACGAGACATCCTCTCTCACCTGTGAGAATAACGATCATCACAGAGACCATAAATGACAGTCACTGGTGAGGGTGTGGATGAAAGGGAGCCTTCGTCCACTGTTGGTGGGAATGTAAGCTAGTGCAGCCACCACGGAAAGCAGCATTGAGGTTTCTGAAAAACCTATAAATAGAACTAACACGATCTAGTCGTTCCCCTCCTGGTTGCATATATCCAAAGGAAACAAAAATACTCTTAAAAAGATATATGCGTCCAAATGCTCAGAGCAGCATTATTTACAGTAACCAAGATAGAGAAGCAACCTAAGAGTCCATCAGAAGATGAATGGGTGAAGAAGATGTGGTGTATACACACACACAGTGGAATATTCCTCAGCCATAGAAAAGAATGAAATGATGCCATTTGTAGCAACATGGATGGGCTTGGAGGGTATTATTCTAAGTGAAATAAGTCAGACAGACAAATACTGTATGGAATCGTCTATATGTGGATTCTAAAAAGTACAGCAACTAGTGAATATAGCAAAAAAGGAACAAACCCACAGACACAGAGAACAATCCGGTGTCACTTGTGGAGAGGGGGAGGAGGAGGGGCAAGACAGGGCTTGGGGATTAGAGGTACCAATTGCTACGTGTAAAATAAGCTACGAGGATATAGTGTACAACACAGAGAATACAGCCAATATATTACAGTAACTATAAATGGAGCATCCTTAAGAATTTGTGAATCACTGTATTGTACACCTGTAACTTACATAATATTGCACATCAGCTATACTTCAATATAAAAAATAATAAAGTAATTGAAAAAATTAGAGTACACGTTAAATGCTTTTTAAAATTTTTAATGTTCAATGTCTAGAGTATTAGCATATTTCTAGGTGTATATTTAGTAGGAACCCTTCCTAAACTATACCCATCATTTAAATTCATCATAATACCAGCTACTTAAATTATACTCTAATTTCATTTACTATGGCTTGTTTATCTATTACATGCCTCTCTGGAATTATATTTATGATTTAATATTTTTGCTCTAGAAAAGAAGTCATGCTGGTCAATGGTGGGCTGTCAGAAGAACTCTACAAATAGGTATTTATGATAAACAGGGTCAGCAAGGCCGACTGTTGCATTATTTTTGGACCAGAACCTTGGTAGCACTTTTGCAATTATGAGATGAAATTACTGCGTATCTTGTTCTTTGCAGTTTCTTTTTTGACTTTTATTAGGACAGTGGACATGTGTTTGATATCACTATTTCGTGCTTTTTTTGTGCATTATTTTAGGCTTACTGTTTTGTCATAAGTTCATATCACTGCTGTTTCACAAAAAAAAAGCACAATCAGTTCAAAATCAGAAAGTTAACAGCGGTTCCATAGAGCACAGATGGCGTGTTGTGATGCTGTGAAGCCTGAGGGTGAGGCCGGAGCAGTGAGAGGAGTGAGCCGTCGAAAGGAGGGAGTCCTGGCCAAGGGCTTCGGGAAACACGCAAGCAGCAGAGGGAGGGAGGCTCTGTGCTGAAACCCTACCCCTGGCTGACGGTCAGTAAGCAAGGTGGCAAGGCTGGGAGGGGGAAGCCCCACGGGTGATGTCGGGGCCCTTTCAAGGGGACCGTGCGCAGCTCCCCGGCCCCTTCACCACCTGGGGGCTCGGGTCTATGAACCAGGAGGGGTTCCCGCCTCCATCTCCCCACACAGTGATCTCAGATGTCCAGCCCACAGGACCGTGAGAAATCCATGTCCGCTATTGGCAAGCCCCCTGTGTGTGGCGTCCTCTCAGGGAACTGACTGGGACAGGAGGTGGGAGCGGAGGGCTGGCGAGAGAGCAGCCAGTGATCTTGGGACCAAGTGTTTTCCTGGAAAACCAAGGAGTGCAGAGGTTTGAGAAGGACCTGCCCAGCACGGGGGCAACGCAAGCGTGGGCAGCATTCAGGGGCCGCTCTGCTGGGCAGTGTGTGTGTGCGCGCATGTGTGTGCATGTATGTGTCCTTGCGGGTGTGTGCACGTGTGTGCATGTATGTGTCTGTGCGGGCGTGTGCGCGTGTGTTATGTATGTGTCTGTGTGGGTGTGTGCACGTGTGTGCATGTATGTGTCCATGTGGGGCATGCACACGTATGTGCATGTGTGTGCATGTGTGTGTCCACGTGGGTGTGTTCATGTATGTGTGCGGGTGTGCATGTATGTGCCCGTGCGGGTGTGTGCATGTGTGTGCACACACGTGTCCGTGTGTGTGCACACGTGTGTACATGCGTGTTGGAGTGCACACGTGGGTTCGTGTGCATGCCTCTGTGTGCACATGTGTGTGCACATATGTGAGTGTGTGCGCTTACATGTGTGGGCATGTGTGCACTTGTGTGTGTGCGTGTATGGGTGGTGGCATGTGTAGTGTGCACTTGTGTATGTGCGTGTGTGATCTCATTGTGTGTGTGTGGGGGGTGTATACATATGTGCCTGTGTGTGTGCTCGTGTATGTGTCTGTAGTTCCATATGTGTGTGCATCTCTGTGTGTGGTGTGTGCGTGTGTGTCGTGTGCATGCATATGTGCTCGTGTGTGTGCTCGTGTGTGTGTTTGTAATTTCATGTGTGTGTGTGCGTGTGTGTTTCTGACACCCAGGATCTTTCCCATCAGTGAACCCAGATCCCGGTGCCTCTGACAGGACAGTGGAAGGGCCTCCCTGGGTCTGCACACAGCAGCCATCACTCAAGAGGACCTGTCAGGACAGCTATATGCAGCCCGGGTGCTCCGGGGTGGGGCTGAGAAGACCCGAAAGGTGGCTTGGAAGCAGACCCTGATGACCTCAGGAGAAGGGGCCTCAGGAGGCGCCTCAGTGACCCTGCATTCTCATTGGCTCTCAGGCCCCCGCCACCTGTCAATGGGCAGGTTGACTCACTGCGAGGATGAACCATCCCACCCTCACCCTCGGCCCTGCCAGCTTCTCCCACCGTCATCTGGTCCAAGCTGCAGGAGGGCTTTCTTCCTGGGGGCCCTTCTGGGGTCTCCCCAGTTCTGGCTCCCCTGTCCCCCCAGAGTGAACTCGCCCCATCTGCCTTTTGCTCCAGCTGGGCTCAGCCGGAGTTAAATCTGCCTTTGGTCTGACAGTTGCCTCCTGATTGTCTATGCTTTGAAATCCCGGGTCCCAGCACAGGCTGCGGGTTTTGGGGGTCTATGGTTCAGCTGGTAAAAGATCTGCCTGCAATGCAGGAGACCCTGGTTCAATTCCTGGGTTGGGGAGATTCACTGGAGAAGGGATAGGCTACCCGCTCCAGGATTCTTGGGCCTCTCTGGTAGCTCAGATGGGAAAGAATCCGCCTCCAGTGCAGGAGACCTGGGTTCTATCCCTGGGTTGGGAAGATCTGCTGGAGAAGGGAAGGGCTACCCACTCCAGTATTCTGGCCTGGAGAGTTCCATGGACTGTATAGTCCAAGGGGTCACAAGGAGTCAGACACGACTGAGCCACTTTCCCTTTCCCTTTCAAGCCCCCTAAAGCAGAGACAGACAGCTGACCATCTCGTGTCAAAGGTGGACAGCCCACAGCCCATGTGTCCAGCCAGTCTCAGATCAGTTGTCCTCACTTGCCCTCCTGCCCCCTCCCTCTGTCCTTGGTAATGAGGAGGGTCCCCAGGAGCACAGGCGGGAAGACCGGGCAGCCGGCGGGAAGGGCTCTGGGAGGGTCAGGCACCAAGGAGCTGGTTATTGAGCTCAGGGTAAGAGAGCGAAGCTGATAGTGACTTTCACGGGAGGAGCTCGAGTCTGAGCCTCATTGGGAAGTGAGGCTTCAGGAACTCTCCCAGGGGCTCAGGGGTATGGAGGTGGGGGAGCCAAGGGAGGGGTGAGATGGGGGATCTAGCCAGGGCCCCCAGCATGGGGGTGGGAGGGCTCCTCCCCGCAGGGCCCACCTCCTGCAGCGACGGGAGCGTCTCAGGTGGACCGTCCATGCCCGGGTCACAGGTGACGCGCGTCTGCACCCCCCTTCTCGCCCCGGGCCCTGAGTCCTTAACAGGGTCGCTGGTCTAATGACCGCCTCTGCGTCTGGGGCTGGAGCCTTTGCTCAGAAACCTGTCTGCTGACTTGTTTGGAGACCAGAATGCCCTCCAAGTTCCATTTCCTCACAGGGATGGTAAGCGAAGTTTTCATCCTCAAAGGTGACCTTTCCACCGAGGCTGTGGCATTTGGAAGGCGTCCACCACATATCTGAGAACAGTGTCGGGGCGGTTCCTCCGCTGTGGCCTCATCCCCAGCAAATCTGGGCCAGCCTTGTGGGGGTGTTGGGTGGGAGACTCTGGCTGGGCCTGGGAAGGCCGCCTGCTGGGTTTTTCATCTTCTCAGAGTATTTACGAAACCAAGATCTCTGTTAACCTCACAGCACAGCCTGCGACTCCGCTGGGCCACACGGCGGCCGGAGACCGGCTCGTCTCTGGGAAGGGGGTGCCAGCGCGGCCGTGTCAGCCTGGGTCCCGGGCGGCGGCGGGAGGAACCCCACGCCAGTCGGTGGGGTCTCCAAACCCTCCATTTGGTCCCCGGGTTAGCTTTTGTCTTAATTTGCATGGTTTTGACTGAAGTCATCTGGCAATATTGAAGCCCAGAACAAAATCAGCGATTTCATCTGACATTATTGCGTGTAGGTTCATGAGGTTTTGTGGTTTCTTCATCAAGCATGTAGTTAAATGTTACAAAATGAAACCATAAAAACCTTGTCTAGGAAAAATTCTTGTCTCTCCAGAGGCGCCAAACACTCTCTAAGCTGAACGGCTGGGGAGGCAGGAAAAGTTAGTCTTGAATCAGCAAACCCCGTGAGACGAGACATGAAATCCAGCAATTAGATCGCTTTTAATAATTTAAAATTTTGAAGTAAAAATAAACTTGGAAAAGAGGACTAGTACAAAAAAATAGTGTCCTTCTGAATAGTCCAGGCACCCTGAAGGTCAGCTGTTGAATCACAGGTTTGACCAAGATCCATGGGATCATCTGACGTTAAAGAAACAAGTCAGCCCTTTCCTCAAAGACAGCAAGGCTCGGACACCATAGTCCTGGCTCCTGCCGCTCGGAGCTGTGTGGCCAGTGTTGCCTGCATCTGCAAAGCAGACTCCTGCAGTTTTAAACATTTTACTTGTATAATGAAAAGTTATTGATGATAAAGATATCAAGTGCCCCAATTATTCTAGGACCTGTCTGGCTGTGTCTCCTCTGTGAGTCTCTATGCCACAGGAAGATAAGTTTCTGGTGCGCCGGAAGCCACAGTGGGGTGGGGTTGGTGAGGGGTGGGTGGGGGGCGGTGAGAGTTCTGCTGAGTTAGCGGATTCCTGGCCTGCACGCTCCACTCCAGCCCTGGGCAGTGCGGGAGGGGGGGGGGTGAGGCTCTCCTCCCCTCAGGAGCTTACATGCTAGAAATAAAGGACAAACAACATCCCAGACAAGGTGCGTTGGTGCCGTTGAGAACCACCAGCGAAGGCAGGAACGTGGGGGCAGGGTGCTAGTTTCAGAAGCACCAGGGCTGCACCCCGCTCCCCGCAACCCCCACGCCTGCTCGGGTGGTAATGCCACATTCCCTGCAGCTCCTGGTGGAGACCTGCTCAGGCCCCAGGACGACCTGTGCAAAGGCCCTGGGGCAGGGCGAGCCTGGCTCCACCAGAGCCCAGAGTGACTGACAGGGTGTGGGAGGCAGACAGAGTTCCAAGACCGCAGGAGGAGCCCTGCTGGGGTGCAGGGGACTCGTGGTCTCAGCGGGACGGGCACGAGAAGGGCTCGGGCAGAGGGCGGGTTGGCCAGGGTGGCTCTGCCTGCAGGGCTCCGCAGGCGGGCCTGGCCCAGGAGGGAGCCGGGCACAGCTGCCCGCCCTCGCCATGTCTTGAGAAAGTGACGCTTGGAGAAGGTCCAGGCTTCAGCACTCAGATGCTGCGGTTTTCTGAGGGAGGAAAACGTTCCCCAGGACACATGTCAGAGGTCCACAGCCATCCCATCTGCTTGGTCCCCAAGGCCCCCCAGGACATGCAGGGAGACCCGGGGGAAAAGGGGTGCAAGAGGGGGCAAGGTCCACGCTTTCAAGTTCTCATGGAAATGAGACTTTGAAGACACCAGGTTTGGGGATAAATATGTTCTGAAATTTCAGAACAGATAAAGCTCTTTTGTTCTAAACGCCCTTCCAGTGTCTGCAAACAGACGCGGCTCTGTGGAGCTGTGTGATGTTCCTGGGTGTCGGGAGGGACTTGGACCACAGGGACAGAGCAGGTAACGTGTATTGTTGTCTAGCAGTTCTTCCCTGTGTGGGCAACTACACTCCAGGAAGCCTGGGACTGGGGGAGCGCACACCTGGGCACAGTGCATCCCAGGGGAAAGGTGGCCAGGCCGTGGCTCCAATTTGCCCAGTGGATGCCTGGACTTGCACTCCTTGCATGTGTCTTTCAGGCAACGACTCGAGTGCCAGGCGCCAGTCTCCTGCGGGATGTGAGGCAAACAGATACAGGTGTGGCCTTGGGAGAGGGTCCTCGAGCAGGCTGGGACAGACGCCCTGGGACCTTCAGGGCCCTTGACGGCCTGAAGACTTTATTGTGACGCGTCTGCTGGAGGGGACAGACCTCCTCCTCCTTTTACACTAAGCCCAGCTCATGGCCACCCCCGGGTATTTCAGGGCGGAACACAGACCATGTGTCCCGAGGCGGCGTCACGTCCCTCGGGGAGGAGGTGCCTGTGCAGGTGGGAGTGGTGCCACGCCGCCAGGAGGAGGAGAGCACTGGGTGAGAGAGACTGGGGCCAAGGGGTCCGCAGGGACCTGCCTTGGAAGCAGGGAGAGGAGAGTCTCCGGGCACCAACCAGCCTGCGGAGGCCAGAGGAAGACAGTCCCACCGAGGCCCGTTGTCCCTGGCGAGCAGAAGAGCCTTTGGCCAGAGTCGTGGTTTCCAGCACGTTTCTAGTCTCTCCCTGCTCTGCTCATTGCCTCACGAACTCGACCTTTTCGTTTCAAAGACCATCCAAAGCTTTGCATTTTCCATATGCACAGTTTTCTAGAGGGAAACATTTTCTTCTTCTCTCTAGGCTCCTCCAGGCAACCAAGACCTCAGTCACCACCGTCCGCCCCGGTCCCTGCGAGGTCGGCTGCCAAGTGTGACCCTTCCACCCCCCCCCCCACGCCTCCTGCCGTGTCACAGAGATCAGAGCGACGTCCACTGCAGACACTTCACGGCCACGTGGCGGACTAAAGAACAGCGTGGATGTTTGTGGTTGGCAGAATGTTAAACCCGTGCTGCTGGACATCTAAGAAACCAACTACACGATGATCAAATCTCAAAATAAAAAACAACTCTGAAAACCATCAGTCCCAGTGTTTCTCAAACGTCTTAGCCACGATACCCTCTCTCCAGGCTAAATCCAGGGAGAAAGCCCAGGCGAGGTAGTGCTTGAAGAGGGCGTGGGGCTGCATGCCCCCACATGCTCTCTGCCCCCACCCCGAGCAGCCCAGGCCTGCACTGGCCCCAGGGAGGCGTCAGGATTTGGAGGCGGAGTTTTCAACCATTACTTACAGTCCAAGCGGTGCTAGGACCGTGCCCAGTGAGCGCCTGACTGCACAGAATCACCTCCGCTAGCAGCGGTGGGCTTCCTTGGCTTGGTCCTTGTGCTCACAGCACACCGCTGGGCAGGAGGAGGCTTCCTGGCCGTGAGGGGGTGACGTTCTGCAGGATGTCCATTGTGGCGCGGCTCAGTTCTAGGTTATGGAGAGAAAGGCCAGGTCTCAGTGGCTGCAGAACCTCGCCACCCTAATTCACCTTTCTAAGCTTCTGCGTCTACGCAGAAAGTGTGAGGCTCAGGTGGTAAGTGGTTGGCACTTGTTAATGGCATTGATGATGGAGATGATGAGGAGGAAGCGTCAAACGGTTTACTCTCTTTCCCCACACCGTGCGTGGTGGGCCCCCCGGAGGAGCACCGGGACGGTGTGCCCCATGCCAGCCGCCGCAGACTCGCAGAGAGCTGTGCCCAAGAGCAGAACCCGGGGAGCTGAGGCTCCAGACCTTGTAACTCCCTTGTGTGACATCGTTTTTTTAAATCTAATGTGAAACATGAAGAAGGCACATAAAATTCTATTTTTAAAACTGAGAACCCTGGTTTTCACTTTGAAGTTTTGATTTTTTTTTTAACTCTGTTGATTTAGGTGTGTTTGAGAATGCTTCTAAATTATAATGGGACAAGTAAAAAAAATATGAATGAAAAATACATTTTGGTAGAAAAGGACCAGA